GTAGTAGTTGCATTTGTAGATGGTGCAGCCTGGATACGTCGAGCATTTGTAGATGGTACACTTTGAGCAGATGGAGTTAAGTTTGCTGGTGCATGTTCAATAGGGGCAGCAACTCTAGCTGGAGCTTGCTGAGTAGGTAAACCAACTTTAGATGATGCTGCGCTTCTAACTTTACCAGGGCCTGCCATCTACCACAACAACTCAACAATTACATGTGTGAAGCATATGTAAAATAAGCATTTACATTAACATCAATGGATGTATAATAGAACCAATATCAGCACATAAGTGATAACTAAACAATAACATGGCATAAGAAACAAAGAAAAATGGAGAAAGAGAAAGAGAAAGGGACACACACAAACATAGATACATTGAAACATATTCTTGGATAATCATTGTCCTCAAACTCAGACAAGAACGACACCTAAACAACAGTGTCATACAAAACATAAAAATTTAAAGTTCTATGTCAAAATCTATATTACAATCAAAATGACTATATAGCTCATCTTCTCGGATAGTATTAAGTGAAGTGTTTTTAGTGATATGAAAATTAAATTCTGAAAAGTATACTTACAGAGCAAGCTATCAATAAAATTCCTCTGATGAACAATCCTCTTGACCAACTTGCATGTTTGCCCGATCCTTGTACATCCTCATAAAATTTTCAATCTCTTCAAACCTTTTGTTTTGCATTTCAATCTTTCTAGCTTGCTCTTGTGTTACCAGGTTCTGGGCTGCAATTTGTTGTTGCTGGACCTCAGCCAAATTCTTCAATGACTCTATTTGTTTTTCTAGGCTCGAAACCACGTCCACATGTGCTTGTGTACTAACAGAAGATTTGGATGAGGATGGGTTTCGACCAACTCCAAAGCCCTTTATGTATCCCGATTTACTCATTCCAAGAACCTCAATTGACAGTTGCTCCTGAGTTAAAGGTACTGCCCCAGGCTCCAAAGATTCTTCATGTCGCTTTTTCAAAGCTTCCTATCAATTTGTAAACAACTTTAACAAATAGAACCAATTACAGAAATATGTAACTATATTAATTGGCATACTTACATGTAATTCACCACATATTGGGGCTATCCAATCCGCCTTTTTCTTGCTCCAATGGGAATCTTTGTGGAAATCTACAATGTCAACCTTTGCGGTACCCTAATTCCGTCAATTTAAAGTAAGTATACATAATTAAATTTAACTCAATCACACTTTTAAATATATTAATTTAAAAGTAAGTATACATAATTAAATTTAACTCAATCACACTTTTAAATATATTAAATGCATCACCTCTCTATACATTGCAGCTTTAAATGACTTAGAGCCCATTGTATGATTATATGGTAACTTCGATCGACTATTCCTCCCTTTTTCAGCCAATTCCTACAAAAGTAATTGATTACTAAATTAAATTGAAATTGAAACATGATTCTTTAACTTATGAAGTTTTACCTGATGATCACTATTAAGCCACACATGATTAATCATGTGTACCCAAGCCTCATGGTCGACCCCTTTGTAAGGCTTAGTGTAAGGGTCAACACCAGCTTCTACCAACTTCGAGTAATGTGTTTTCATCTTGTTACGCCAACTTTTGTAAAGGGTTTTACACTTCTTGTTGATAGCTTTCCGAACCACTTCATCCTCATCATAATCAACAATCTCAAATTTATCCTGCAAATATATGAATACTTTTATTAATATTAAACTGTAAGTAATGGTGATAATCTAACTATTTACAAATCAACAAATACAAGTACCCGAACTACCTGAATGATTGGGGCTTTATGAATCTCGTCAATCTTATCCCACTTACTTACGCCAATGATAGGTGCAGCCATCCTTATTTGTAACCCAACTTCATTTGCAAATGGAGTGGCATAAGGCCCTACTGGCACCTTGGCATCTGCAGGGACCCAAACAGGAAGTTTTTTGCCACCATTTTTTGCTATGAGACGCGCTATGTTCTTCCCTCGAGTCTGACCCCTTACCTGTGTAGAACGGGTACGCGAACTAATTGTAGATAGTGCAGCTTGGGTCGTAGCTTCATTTGTAGATGGTGCAACCTGTGTAGTAGTTGCATTTGTAGATGGTACAGCCTGAGTAGTAGTTGCATTTGTAGATGGTGCAGCCTGGATACATAGAGCATTTGTAGATGGTACACTTTGAGCAGATAGAGTTAAGTTAGATGGTGTATGTTGAGTAGGGGCAGCAACTCTAGCTGGAGCTTGCTGGGTAAGTAGAGCAACTTTAGATGATGCTGCACTTCTAACTTTACTAGGCCCTGCCATCTATACAACAACTCAATTATTACATGTGTGAAGCATATATAAAATAAGCAATTACATTAATATCAATGGACGTATGATAAAATCAATACATAAGTGATAACTAAACAATAACATGGCATAAGAGACAAAAAAAAAATTAAGAAAGAGAAAGAGAGAGGGCCACACACAAACACAGATGCATTGAAACATATTCTTGGATAATCATTACGCTCAAACTGAAACAAGAAAGGCACTTAAACAATAGTGTCACACAAAACATAAAAATTTAAAGTTCCATGTCAAAATCCATATTACAATCAAAATGACTATATAGCTCATCTTCTCGGATAGTGACAATGCTCTTAGTAATCATCTTCATTATCGCATGTCTCTTCATCATCAACATCATCGTCGTTTCCTCGACTAACTGTTTCTAAAACCACCTCACTTGGGATAATCTGAGGATCAATGTCATTCCTATGAAGTGAGATTGTGACGGGGTCTTCAACACTGATTGGGACAACATTAGTTGTTTCATTCTGTTGGAATACATCATCAGGTTCAACGTCATCCTATTCTGGTACATCCCATATTCCTCGATGTTGTAGTCCTTGTACAACTTTCCAATGTCCACCTAACTTTGTATCATCAACGTAGAAAACTTGCTTCACATGACTTGGTAAGACAAATGGATCATCTTTATACCATCGACTTTTGACATCAATACTTGTGAAATGTGCATCAATGTGTAATGTTCTATTGCTACCGGTGTTGAACCATTCGCATTGGAATAAAACAACTCGATGTCCAAGTATATAATGCATCTCCCACACTCTATTCAAGTACCCATAAAAGTCAATTGTTTGTCCCTCATGCTCCCCTTCCACAACCAACCCACTATTTTGGCATTTACGACGATTGTCATGATCGTTACTATGAAATCGAACACCATTGGAAATGCAAGCTGAATACAAATTAACTATGATACTAGGACCATTTGCTAATGACCACAATTCATCAATTGCTTCTGGTAATCCTTGAGCTCGTAACTGGTTCATCTACATAAGGACATAATCAATTTCAATCATTATATTAGTATTCATGTAAGTATAATTCAATAAAGTTTACGCTTATATCTTACATGTTCTTTGAACCACTTGGGGAATTCCTCTTTTTGTCTCTTTGTGATGTCACGTGCACCTTGATTTTCTAAAAGATTTTTGTGTTGCCTATTTACAAACATATAGTTGATAAGTAACATATTATATTGAAAACATAATTTCACATAAAAAAATAAAAATAAATAAAAAAAACAAGATAAAAACTTACTCTAGATAATGGTCCAACTCAAGGCTATTATTCAAGACAAACCAATGAGCCATTTCACGTTCTTTCTGAGACACATCAGAAGCCCTTATCATTAGCCCAAAAGGACGGACATCTTGCGTAAAGACCTCTAACCCCGACTCATGCACACCAACATCGACATTTCGTTCCTCTCGATTAAATACAGTTTCAACCCCACCCAGATACATTGAGCAAAATGTGAGACACTCCTTGACAATATAAGCTTCTGCGATCGAACCTTCTGGACGAGCTCGATTTGCAACATACCCTCAAGTAGCCTATGAAACAAACAATAGAATACTTTTATTACACATACTCACATTTTTATAAATATATATATGTATATAGTTTGTGCTACAATTTAACTATTCTAGTGTATTAAGAAGTTAGTAAGTACCTTTCAATGGGATACATCCACCGATATTGCACAGGCCCACCAAGAATGGCTTCGCGAGGCAAATGAATAGCCAAATGGACCATCAAATCAAAGAACGCTGGTAGGAAAATTTTCTCCAGCTTGCATAATATGAGTACTATGCGATCCTCTAAGTTTTTCAAATCCTTCACCTTCAATGTCTTTGAGCAAAGCTCTTGAAAGAAATTTCCCAACTCAAATAATGCGACACATATATCATTGTGAAGATATCCACGCATTCCAATGGGAAGAAGTTGTTGTAGAAGGATATGACACATGACTTTTTAGGCCTGTTAACTTATCACCTTTTGTGCTTACACACTTTGAGATGTTTGCCGCATAACCATCAGGATACTTAATTGACTTCAAAAACTCACAGAAACCATGTCTTTCATCTGAGGACAAGCTGTACAATGCTGGGGGCTTTTCAAATGATCCATCGGCACGCCTCTTCAGGTGCAACTCCTTCCTTATTTTCATATCTTTCAAATCCATGCGTGCTTTTTTTGTGTCTTTGTTCTTTCCATCTATACTCAATAATGTTCCAAGCAAACTATCACATATATTCTTTTCTATGTGCATAACATCTAGGTTATGTCTGAGTTTAAGTGTTTTCCAATATGGCAACTCAAAGAAGATGCTTTTTTTGGTCCAATTTAATACTGGATTTCCCCTTTTTCTTTTCTTATTGGCTGGATGCTTTCCAAATGGTCTGTATGTCCCTGAATCCAATTGTTCTAAGATTTGTTCCCCTGATAACCCCAAAGGTCTTGACACAAACTCAGCCTTACTGTTATAAAGTCGACTCCTACGCCAAGGGTGGTCATCATGCAAGTAATGGCGAGCGCCTGTGTACCCTATTTTACCTCTCAACCGTTGTGAAGATGCATTCTTGTTACATGTAGGACAAGCCAAATAACCTTTCGTGCTCCATCCAGACAAGTTTCCATATGCAGGAAAGTCATTAATTGTCCACATAACAGCTACATGCATTCGAAAAGTTAATTCAGTTGAGGCATCATATGTAAGCACACCATCTTCCCACAACTCCTTCAGCTCATCAACTAATGGTTGCATGTAAACATCGATATCCCTACCTGGTGCTTGTGGTCTAGGGATAAGCAATGACAACATACTAAATGGTTGTTTCATACATTTCCAAGGAGGCAAGTTGTAAGGCACAACAATCACAGGCCACATACTATATGAGTTGCTCATGGTCCAAAAGGATTAAAACCATCAGTAGCCAACCCTAACCTCACATTTCGAGCCTCTTGGGAAAACACAGGATGTTTCCTATCAAAATCCTTCCATGCCTCACCGTCAGCCGGGTGTCTCAATATCCCATCATCTACTCCCTTTTCTTTGTGCCATCTCATATCTATAGCTGTTTTTCTCGACATATATAATCTCTACAACCTCGGTGTCAACGGGAAGTATCTTAAGATCTTATGAGGAATTTTCTTACCTTTTCCATCATTCAACTTGTATCTGGACTCCTGACAAATTGGACAATTTTCCAAATTTGCATTCTCCTTCCAGAAAAGTGCACAATCATACTTACATGCATGAATCGTCACATATCCTAAGCCTAAGTCACGCAAGAATTTTTTGGCTTCATAAAGGGTCCATGGAATCACTTGATCACTTACCGGTAAAAGGTCTTTTCATATCCCCAACAACATGTTGGATGATTTATTGCTCCACTTGTTCAACACCTTCACATGAAGCATCCTAACAACAAATGATAAAACAGAAAACTTACGACACCCAGGGTACAACTCTCTTTGAGCATCATTCAATAATTTATCAAAGGTGCGCACATCCTCTTCTTCAACATTATTATCCACATCATCATCATCGTCCTCTTCATTCCCGTCATTTTCATTATCATTCATGATAGTCCCCATGTAAACATCTTCTAACAAATTTAGGAATTCATCTTGATCTGCATCTGTATCTTCTTCCATTCTATCCCCAACACTTCCATAGTCATTGTGGTTGTCATCATTCAATACATGAGATTGATTAATGGGAACAGATTCCCCGGGATGCACCCAAGTCTTATAAGAAGGGGACATACCTTTCGCGACCAAATGATACTCCACAATTTTACTGGTGTGTTGTTCACAATTCAAACAGTCCATACAAGGACAACGAATCTTATCATTTGGCCTTACATTTGACATTGTGAAGTGAACAAAAGCCTTCACCCCATCTCGATACTGGGAACTCATCCTATTCTTAAGTAACATCCAACTCTTGTCCATATTTGGTCACCTACAAAGCCAACTATTTCGTTTCACAATTAAAAAATAGAAAAAAGAAATCCTCCACTGTGAAAAAGTATTGATTAGTTGAATGGATTAGATGGGAAAAAATTGAATAGAAATCACATCTAGTTTTTTATTTTTTTTATAAAGCATGTTAAAAAAAAAAACAAAACTAATCAAATTCATTCAATTTCTTTAATAGATGTGATTTTAGCAATTTGACTTATTTATTTGAGTTAGACATGGACTTGAGATTTTTAAGCAAAACACAACCACCCTCTAATTAGCATATTTGGTCTTATCTTATTTATATATCACATAGTTTTTTTCCTTTATCTTCCCAATTGAGTATGTCTTTCAGAAAATTGCAGATAGCAAGTTATCAATTAAGCGAAAGTGTTACTTGGTTCCACCTTCACTGTCATGGTTGGTTGGCTTGTCTACTGGGCTTCATCACATGGTAGATCAATTGTACAATTAAAAGCCTCGGACAGATTCATCCAGATAGAATTAACTTTGTGATCAATCCAAATCAATCTTTTAAATCCTCTAAGTTGAACAGGTAAATCAAATCAGTAAGGAATTCCAAAGAGCAAGGTGGATGAACAGAAATAACAAAAAATAGTGGCTGCATAGTAAAAAGCAGTGTGGTGCAAATTTAAGGTTCTGAAAGGACAAGCTAATTACATCGGACAAGGTAAAGAAAACACTAGATGACGTACTTAAAAGCATATTAAAATTTGATTGGGTCGAAGACATACGATGGCAGTAAAAATTTTAGAACAAATTTAGTGCAAATACAAATCCCTGGTTACCCAAATTTGTAATTTAAATAATACAATTTTTGGTATCTCTCCACTGTTTTCAATGACCATTAGTTCTCGTATTGCACCATATATACAAAGCAAAACACTGGAAATTATTTTTAACTTACTGCAGGTTCTCCACCCATTACACCTCATATGACAACTCTTTTTTTAGTAACCCCTCATATTATTCCTACTGGACCAAAGAAAAAGCAGAAGGGGTAAAGAAAAATTAAAACCAATTTAAATAAATTTTATTTCTCTTGAATTTATCTATCCAATTGTTATATATGGGAGAACATAAATATTTTTTGTCACATGGCAAAAAACAAAAAAAATAATAAAATAATATATATATTTTCTGACAAACTACAATCAATATATGGGAGAACATAAATATGGGAGAACATATATATGGGAGAACATAAATATTTTTTGTCACATGGCAAAAAACAAAAAAAATAATAAAATAATATATATATTTTCTGACAAACTACAATCAATATATGGGAGAACATAAATATGGGAGAACATATATATGGGAGAACATAAATATTTTTTGTCACATGGCAAAAAACAAAAAAAATAATAAAATAATATATATATTTTCTGACAAACTACAATCAATAAAAGCAGTTCTCGAATACATATATATATATATATATATATATTGAATGAAAATCAATGTATTAACAAAAATCACAAGAAGAATGGCAGCAGCATCCATGAATCATTCAGTTTCATGCACCATGAGGAAAAAAAATGAAGGTAATGAAAACAATGAAGGTAATCTTGAATCATGCCATGTTTGAAAACAATGGTGTATTACTTGTTAGTCATAATATCAAATGGGCAATCTGTGGTAGTTGAACAAAAAAGAAAAAAAAAACTTGCAAATATCAAATAAATAAATGCATATTAATTTCAAAGAACAATTTATTATACAGCAGTGGGTTAGATTTCAGTCCAATCCCTGAAGACACGCCAGATATATAGTTCATCTAGGTCACACAATAGATATCACACATATCAAAAATAAAATAAAAATTAGTTTATTTCACCTCTATAACTTAAAAAATTGGTTTAAGAAAATACATTCAGAATATCATTTGGCCCAGAGAAGAGAACATCGATCTGCCAAACAGCGCTGCTGCTGCCCAGCGCTGCTGCTACTGCTGCCTAGCGGTGTTGTGCCATTGGCATTCGACGGCTCGAGAAATTAAGAGGGAGAGGGACTACATTCAACATATATCAGAGATAGAGAAGAGAAGAGGGGATCGACCCAAAAACAAGGTGCGATCTGCCGCCGTACAACTTCGGTGCCTTTCAGATTCGGCGATGCAGCAGAGGGAGAGGGAAAGGGAGAAGGAGAGAGAAGAAGAAGAAGAAGAGAAGAAGAAGAAGAAGAAGAAGAAGAAGAAGACATTACTTGGAGCAACTTGTGTGTGCCGTTTCAGATGGAGTGAGAAAGGGAGAACAAAAGTGATGGTCACTCATCAGTTAATTACTTTTGGCAATAAAAAATTAGGATAAAGGCAAATAAATTATTGGCAACCAAATAAATTTGGTTGCCATAAATATTATTCAAATTTTCGGTGACCAAGTCATGCTTGTCACCAAAGACATATAATTGGCGACAAAAATTTCCGTCGCTAAAAATTAATTTGGTCGCCAAATTGTTTTTAGCTCTCCCGCGCAAAAAAATCACTTGGCGCCAAACTCAATAGTGACCAAAATTTTAAATTTGTCACCAAAAGTTTAGTTTTTAGTGACCAAAACCATTCAATCACCAATGATGTATCTTTGGCAACTAAATTTTTGTTTGGTTGCTAAAAAGCGTTGCCAAAAATGTTTTTTGTTGTAGTGTCAGAGGGGCAGGCTGTCATCTGTGACGCGTACAAAGAACAAGTCAACCAAACCTGTAACCGAGGCTTCTACCTGAGCTAGACCACAGCTCTAAACAAAATATCTGTCCTTATGGACTCCGACCTCCGAGATATCAGCAAACTCCAAGTGCCTTTCCCTTCGCCTTCCAAAGGATCAGGCGGTGAGGCCAATGAAGAGGAGGTTGAGTCCGACGACGCTAAAAAAGAGGAGGAGGTTGCTAAGGGGGCCAAGTCCCCAACATTGAATGATCAAGTCATGGACTTGACTCATAATGAGGAAGAAGACTTGGTCTCCAAGGATGCCTCTCTCAAACAAACAACTTCTGAGGCCGAGTTTCGTTTAGCCGAGAAAAGCTTAGACCAAACCCTTCTGGAAATTGACGCCGAGATGGCGATGGAGAAGAAAGCCACATTGTCAATCGAGGCCGACACAACGCTAACAGCCGAGGTTGAGCAATCTAAGACCGATGCCCACAATTCCAACACTAAGGAATTTTTGCATTGAGCTTTACTTTTGAACAATTTGTAATTTTCTGTAGCTTTTGGACAAGTAATCTTTTTTGCCAAGCCGAAGTGCCTTTCTATTTTTGAACAAGTTTTTCTTGAATGCATGCTTGCCTTCTTTCTTCTTTCCTAAGTGTTGAATGATTTGCTTCATGTATGCTTACTGCTTCTATCCCTTTCATGCTGTCATACTTAGAATATTTTTTGCATCTCTTCAAAGTACACCTTAACTTGTGCAATCACTTCGGGGTAAAGTACATTGGATAAATATTAACTGTTTGTCTCGTTTTACACTTGAAACACCTAAGCTAACACTTAAAAATATTTCAAAATATTTTTTACAAGTGTTACTTCTTTAAACTTATTCAGTCAAGTATTTTTTCTTTACTTCTACTTGATATCTTCTGTCAAGACCTCAACATTTCCAAGCTTGGCAACCTAGTTGGTCATCTCGAGTAATATATACCTCGGATACTTCTTTCATAATTATCTCGGCTAACTCCAACTTGTAAATTTCTCTGAAATTCCAACAAGTGTTAAGCCCATTTTAGCTTATAAATTTTTCTAAAAAATTTTAACAAGCCCCAAGCTCTTAAGTTTATTTATCATTCCTACTCTCTACCCCTAATGTGAACCTGAGTTCCACTAGAGTTCACATTATATGTTTATGATCTTTTGCCAAAGTCATATTCAAACAAAGACTAGCCAAGGTCCAACCTTGTGTAGACACC